GAGGCAGGCGTGTGACGTTGATCTGATTGTACGTTTAGTTGGTTAGTTGGATGGTTGGTTGAATGGTTGGCTGGCTGGTTGGCTGTTTAGTTGGCTGGTTGGTTGTTTAGTTGGTTGGTTGTTTAGTTGGTTGGTTGTTTAGTTGGTTGGTTGTTTAGTTGGTTGGTTGTTTAGTTGGTTGGTTGTTTAGTTGGTTGGCTGGTTGGTTTGCTGGTTTGTTGGCTGGTTGTTTAGTTGGTTAGTTTGCTGGTTTGTTTGCTGGTTTGTTGGTTGGTTGGCTGGTTAGTTGTTTGGTTTGTTGTTTACTAATTGGCTTGTAAGAATGATTATTTGGTTGGTTGGTCAGTTGGCTCGCTGGTTGATTGGTTGGTTCATTTACTTGATTGATTTTTGAGTCGTTGTGGCAAGAGTGTTAAATTTTTTAAAGAAATATTTTAGAATTTGTTCGTATTTGTTTTTGTGGCTGTGAGTTTAACACTTTTCATATCATCATCATTATCATCATGACCGGAAACAACAATATATCATCATAATAATCATCATAATCATCACAGATATCATCATCATCATTATAATCATTAACATCATCATCATCGAAAAAGTCAAACTGCCAAAGTTTTTATAAGCAAATAACGAAAAATAAAAATTCCTAGCTCAATAAAACATTCACATAATCGTTAAGTTATATTATGCATTAAGATTAAAATTAAGTTGTCATTTTTTGGCCATTAAAATGTTCATGTGTGTGTGTGTGTGTGTGTGTGTGTGTGTGTAATACGGTTGGTGTATGTAAAAACATTTGATTCCACACACACACACGCACACACGCACACAAACACACACACAAATATATGTGATATGCCTGGGTACATTTGCATTCGAACACGGCCAATGCAACAGCATGGCCCGGCGTCTTAACCAGTGCGCCATGCTGTAAATACAAGAGACGATAATTCTTAAAATAATGATAATTTATTTAATTACAATGAAAATGTGATTGACGATTTGTAAAAATTCATTCAAGATAAACTAACTTGAAAAATAATCTTCGAAACAAAAAATTATTAATTCATTATTATTAATACTACCATTATTTTATAAGCACTACTATTTTATAAGAAGTTTTGATAAAGTGAATTACTTGAAAGTAAAATTAACTTTTCTTGGATAATTCAAGTTTAAATTGTCTTTACAAAAGGTTTCAGTGTTCGGATGATTCAGCTATATATACGTTTAAAGGCACACATTCCTGTATGTATGTGTGTATATGTGTGTTTGTTTGTATGTGTTTGTATGTTTTTTTTTGTATTTTTGTATGTGTGAGAAGCATGGATGTATGTTTATTTTTCATCTTTTGAAATGTTGGTTTTTCGAAAGTAAAATAGTATAATGGAGTGTTTTATTAGTCAGGATTTTGTTGTTTGCTGGTTTTTTATAAGTATGTTTGTATGAATGTTTGTATGACTGTTTGTTTGTATGTATGCATGTATGTATGTATGTATGTATGTATGTATACATGCATGCATGCATGTGTGTACGTATGTATATATGAATGTTTGTTAGTTTATCGATTTGATCATTGATTCGCTTCATTTCATTCATTCTTTTATCTGTCCGTTAAGTAAGTCGTATCTTTTTTTTGGGTTTTTCTTCTTTTCTTCGTCCATTCATTCCTGAGGCAACTACTCATTCATTCATTCATTCATTCAGTCATTCATTCAGTCATTCATTCATAATTCAATCATTTAGGAATCAGATGTACAATCAAACAAACACACATACAAACACACACTAACAAATAAACAAACAAACAGACAAACAAACAACAACAAATACACTGCTTGGCGTTGCATGAACAAAGCAAAAAAATACATCCACTCATCTATTCATGTACGATCCAGTGATTATATTGAAAACCGAATGACAACAACAACTACAGCAACAACAACAAACACGGCAACAACAACAACAACAACAACATCAACAATCAACAACATAAAAAACCAATAAAATCCTATTTGATATATGAGCGTGACAATTATGCCTATTGGAATTCTGTTTCCATGGCAACCACAACGACATCATAACCAGAATCATCATCAGCAATAATAATAATAATAATAATAATAATAATAATAATGACGAATATTATATTTAGTTTCATTTGTAGTAATACCAAATTTGATAATAACGCCGACGAATAGAATTGCTTGTGGTTAAATAAAAATGGATATACGTATGAATATATATATATTACATATTATATTCTATGTGTTATATTATATATATTTTATTATATATATATATATATATATATATATATATATTATATATATTTAAAATCCCAACACCAATCCCATCAACAGACAATATAACAACATAGCACAATAACGTAGCAATCTAATGAAAAGGCAATCATAGCGACACACCAAGACAATCACATGACCAACACAATCACGTGACGAAAAGAATCACATGACCAGCAACACAATCACGTGACCAACACAATCACATGACCAGCAGCGCAATCACATGACCAATACAATCACCACAAAATACCTCAGCAGAAACGGGGTGTGAATAGAATTTATCTATTTTTCACTTTACTCTCTCCCTCTCTCTTTCTCTCTCTGTCTGTCTATCATATCCTTTTGTCCTTTTTTTCGCACTTTCTCTCTTTCTTCCCGCCATCATTTTGTTTTTTTTTTCTCTCTCTCTCTCTATGTTTCTTTTCTCTTATTGCTTTATAATATTTCTTCCTCAATATATACTACATATATATGAAATAATTTATAGCGACAATGCAAATACACGCGATATTCATCTGTATGCATGTGTTCAATTCAGTGTAATGGAGAATGAGATAGATAGATAGATAGATAGATAGATAGATAGATAGATAGATAGATAGATAGATAGATAGATAGAAACAAAATTAAAAAATATGAAAAATTAGATGAATATGATTGATGGACTCGGAATTCACCAATCAAAACCATCAGCATGTTTGGAAAAATATTTGAAATTTGCAGAAAAGCAGAAAATTTTTCCAAATATTAATAGAAAAAAGACCAAAAAAATAGAAAATTTTGATTGTTACAAATTTTTCAGTGATTAAAAAAAATTAAACGGATGGTTTCATTGAGATTATGATGATGAAGATGATGGTAGACAGACAAACGTACGAATAAACAAGTCAGACAGACAGACAAACAGACAGACAGATAGACAGACAGACAGACAGAGACCGAAAGACTGATAGACCGACAGACCAGAGAAGAGGGGAGCTAGGGCCAGCCAACTCACCAAACTAATTATTTAAAGATTAATTTCAGAGACTGTCTGAGGTAATTTTCAACAAAATTTTATTACGTGCAATAGGAGAATAATATGTTTAAACTGTGAAATCAAACAACAAAACGTTTCTATCTTCCAATGTTTCGATTTAAAAAATGAAAAAAAAAGCTTCACACTAAGACCAAAAAGATAAAACATTTTTTAAAATATTCAAATTAGTAGAATATCATATCATATCAGTATTTTAGAATCCACATTAGTTTGATATTCGGCATTCACCTCAACAAAATGTATACAACAATTTTTCTCTATCGGCACCATGAAATACCAGCTCAATCAGCACCCTTAATTCCTCCTTACTCAAAATTCCATTGATATTATTTGGCTCCTTTTTGGCACCCCACTTGTTTATGACACCCCTAGGTGAGCAGAAAGGTTCTAAAATGAACCTCATCTCTTCGAGTTTTTTCATTTTGGGTGCCAATTTGACTAGCCCATCTGGCGAAACCTTCTTGTCGTCTGAGAATAGCGATGTGACGAACGTTTCGAGGGATTGTAGGGACGAATGGAAAAATTTTATTAGCTCTATGTTTGGTTGTTGTTTCAGTTTGTTGCTGTTATTGTTGTCGTCGTCTTTGTTTATATCTATGTTGCTAATATCTTTGTTGTTGTTTGTTGCTATGGTGAGGAATCTATCAGTGATAATTTGAACCATGGAGTTACACAGGGCTCCTTAAAAAAATCATTTAAAAAAAATTATATTATATTATAAATATATTTTATTACATAATTCCTAAATATTATAAAAATGTTATAGTATTTCGTCTATAGTTAGTAATGTCATGCCACATTTTATCATAGATCATAATTCTATCTATAATGTAAAAATCTTTCAGGAGAAAATTACCAACAATCACCTAAGCTCTTAAGGTAGATATCTTTATGAAGGACAGATGCCCAGATCTTGGAAACAGAGTCGACGATTTTAACGGTGCTAGTGAACTTTTCCAAGAAGGTCGGGTCATAATTGGGGTCAAATCTGAGGTCAGCTTGATGTGATTTGGGGAGAGTTCATGTTGATGTTGTTGGTTTTGTTGGTGTTACAGGGGATAAAAAATCATCGTCGTCTACATTACTATAACCATTAATCCATGCACTATCGTCTTAATCAATGTTCAAATCACCACTATTATAGTCTTAATCATTGGCATAATCATCACCATCAGTATTGTCACAATCCTCATCATCATCATCATCATCATGATCATAACTATTACCATCATCGTCATCACCATTACTAACTCTCGCCCCAGCAACTATCCATCCATCTCGCTTTCGAGAGAGTGAACTCCATCAGACAGGAAGTTGCTTGCCCATCCAAAGATACTATAACGTCGTAGTAGGAAAGTCCGCACGGTAATTTAAAATTCTGCCTGCACTTTTTAGTATCTTTGGTCTTCTGTCGTTTACCTGAACTGTCCTTCACTGTGATTGGCCGGAGGTATGCCTCGCAGAGAAGAAGATGGTGGATGAGGTAGTGGCAGTCGTTGTGGTGAAGAGCTGATTGGTTGGATAGTTGATTGGTTGGTTAGTTGATTGGTTGGTTAGTTGATTGGTTGGTTAGTTGATTGGTTGGTTAGTTGATTGGTTGGTTGATTGATTGATAAAATATTGTTTAATTACTAAATCAATCTATTAATCAATTTATTAATCAACCAACCAGCCAACCAACCAACTAACCAACCAACCTACCAGCGAAACAACCAACCAACCAACCAACCAAACAACCAACCTACCAGCCAACCAACCAGCCAACCGACCAACCAGCCAATCAACCGACCAACCAACCAACCGACCAACCAGCCAACCGACCAACCGACAACAAGTGCGTTTTCTTTGACGTCATCATCCAGCACTTCCTTCCTGGCCAATAAAAAAAGCTCTACAACGTTTCTTACAAAGATAAAAACATCGAAATAGTCGTCCATATTATCTCTAATCATTCTCGGCAGTAACGAGTTGTTTGCTGGTGAAATTTTTGCAGGTACTGTTGTCATTGTTGTTAGTGTTACGTTAATCGAATCATCGATAAACATGTTAGTGTTGTTGATTGTTGTGTTGTTGGTTGTTGTGTTGTTGTTGATTGTTGTTGCGTTGTTGTAGAATGTTGTGGTGTTGTTGTTGGTTGTTGTTGCGTTGTTGCCGTTGTCTTCCAGTTTCAAAACCGAGTAGATCACCTCAACTAATTGATAAACCTGTTCGCTGTTCATTGGTATGTTGGGAAAAATGCACAGTGAATGAAGAAATGAATGAATGAATGAATGAATAAATGAATGAATGAACAAATGAAACGATAAAGTGATAGATTGAAGGAAAACGAATGAAGAGATAGGTGAATGAAAAAAAAATAATGAATGAATCAAGCAATGTATGAATGAATGAATGGGAAAATAAAAAACCTCACCAACCAACCTCACAGAGCATTCTGGAAACCTTAAATCCTCGTGCAAACACTCCTCGACCGCCTCCCAAATGGGTTTTCCCATCGTGACGTCATCACCGACGTCATTCTTAACTCCGACGGAAATAGAATTAGGCAGGCGGCACTTGATGACCTCCTGACATTTCGCAAGCATTCTATCATACTCGTTTGGCACAATCTTCACATCCAACTTCACTAGCATCTTCTTTAAATCAGCCTCGCTGATGAAGCCTTTTGTTTTAGCTAAGTTCAATTGGCCTTTAACCTCTTTCAGAGCGTAACCTTCAACTTGACCCGATTTCGAATCCAAGTGACCGATGATAGTTTCGAACAGTTTACATGCCCTTCCGTTCGAACCAAATCTTTCGACCAATGAGAATTCAGGTGTGTGTGTCATCTTGAGGGCTATAAATAGCAGATTGGTCAGTACACGCACTCGCATGAAAAGTGTGGTCTCTGAATTCGGGTCACGCGTTGAAATTGGGTCAATCCTAACCACCACCTCATCGTTAACTAGGTCGGAGGTTAAGTTTTTATTGAGGTTCAGAATTGGGTCAACGAAGTAGGTCATGAGGTCATCGAATAACTGGGTAAGGAGAGGTTCAAGTTGGTTGAGTTTCTCCAGGGTTTTTAGGGCCTCGATCCAAGTCTGCTGGTTGACCGATGCCTGTGATTGTACGGGTGAATGAGTGAATGAATGAATGAATGAATGGATGAATGATGAATGAACAGATCAATGAATGAATAGATAATTTGTATTTGATTACAATAGTGACTGAATAAAAAGAACGAATCTAGATAGAATTGCATTCAGAAGAACAGAAATAACACATTAAAAAGCAACCACATCATCATCACCATTAGCAAATACATCTTCAACATCAACAACATCATCATCAACATCAACATCAACATCATCATCATCATCAACATCATCATCATTAACATCATCATCATCATCATTAACATCATCATCAACAAAAAATACAACATCATCATCAACAACAACCTTATCAACTTTGACGCGCCACTTCAGCTCAACAGGTGATTTTTCCCAATGAATGCACTCAAAGAACATCTGAAGTGATAATAATAATAATAATAATTAATAATAAGAATAAAAATAATAATTGCTATTTCTTTAATTATCATTTTATATCACCTAGTTACCCGACAATAATAATTAACAATAATGATAAAAATAATAATTATTTCTTTAATTACTATTTTATATCTCCTTGTTACCCGACAATAATAATTAATAATAATAATATAAATAATAATAATTATTTTTTAATTACCATTTTATATCTCCTAGTTACACGACAATAATAATTAATAATTATATTAAAAATAATAATTATTTTTTAATTACCATTTTATATCTCCTAGTTACCCGACTCAAAATTTCGGTACCCCTAAGCATGATAGCTGAGACGACTGGCAGTGCCTTTTTTGCCTTCAGGCTTCCTTCCAGTAAATTGAAAACTTCTTTTAGAAAGCCTGTATGTTATAAGGGGAATGGTTATCTATTGTTGAAATTTTTTTTTAGGTTATTTTCATTTTTTTTTGGTATCAGTAGTTAAGGCAATCAGTCAAGAGTCAACCAACATAGCAACTAAGCATACCAAACAACTAACCAACCATCCAACCAACCAACAAACCAGCCAACCAACAAGACCAATTTAATTACCAAACCAACCAACCAACTGACCAACCAACCAATCAACAAACCTTCAAACACAAAGTACCCATCCAAACATTCTTTGTATAAACTTTTTGAGAAATTTTTATTCATTTGTTTCAGTAACTCGTCCAAATTTAAAAGGTATCGACACGATTGCAGAGTTTTAACTGACTGTGCTAATTTTAGACTGCCAGACTGTGATTGGCCAGCAGGTTCAATTGATTTTCTCTGGGAACATAAATTTTGAATCTGGTCATTTTTATAAAATCCATCAAATTATTTATTCTAATAATAATTTTCACATCATATTTGATGTATGGTAACAAAATTAATAATACCACAACTAACTAAGGACGAAAGAACATTCAATCAAAATAATTAATTTAATAATAATCGGGAAAAAATTAACTGAATAAATTAAATAATTATACATTGTTTACTGCGGACAGCAATTGAACAATCTTCTCTTCAAAAGCCTCATTATCAATCTCTGCCATCTTGAACTGTTCATATTTCTTATCTAGAGCATCGACTATTTCGGCTTTCAAATCATCTAAATCTCTGATTAATGCATTTTCATTAGATGGGGCCATATTGACTGACTTCAAGTCCTAATCCTAAATTTTTTTGATTAAATTGCAATTATACTTGAATAATTTTTAAATTGTTAATAATTTTTATTTTTAATTGATTTTTAAATTAATCTATTTATTTTATAAAATAGTATCATTAATTAGTAATGATTCTGAGTAATTAGTAATTTTTAGAATTTAGTAAAATTTAAAATTCATGTCTATTAAAATTTAATTTAACTTTTAATTTAATTTTTTTCAATCTTTATTTTCAGATTTCCTGAGATTACTGATTTGATAACCCAAGACGAGTTCAGTCAGATTCAGATGAATTGTGACTTTGGGAATAAAATTGAATTATTATCTTAATATATTATTATTATTAATTATCACAATTTAAATTTAAAACAAAAATTTGAATTAGATTTAACTTTAACATTTAATAATTAAACAAATAATAATTAATTTAATTTTTAATAATTAATTTTTAAATTAAATATAATTTTTAAAATTAAAATTCTTTTTCAGTCTTAAGGAGCAAACACATCTCTGTTATTTTATTAACTCGAGTCCAATACAAAATTTTACCTAATTCAATTATAATAGGTAAAAATTAGTAGATAAACAAAATTTTTCATAACAAAACCTAATCGAAACGACCGCCAACTTGAAACTTTTAAAAGTAAATTTTAGTGTTTTGATTAAAAGTTGTCTTTTAATCAATCAGATTAAAAATTGTCTTTCAATCAATCAATCAATCAATCAATCGCATATATTTTTACAGTGCACATTTCTACAACTCAATGATGATGTTCTAGCTAAATCTAGCAAAATAAAGTGTTTCTAACTTGTTTAATCAAATCTTTCGAGACAAAATGACAAATGTTGACCGTGGTGCCATTTTAAAAGGATATACCTTAAGTGCCCCCAAATTTGAAAGAAAACCTACAAAACCATTCGTGACTTTTGAATGAGTAAAAGATATCCCAATCTAAAACGAACTTTTTCGTTCTTTGTCTGATATTGAGCTCATTCATAATAAAACGCATTTACGCATTCATTATTCGAAATTGTGTTGAAATAGAACACAGATACACACACACACACACACAAACACAAACAACAGATCCCATTTTTTAAATATTTATTACCATTCAACTCATATGCCTTTGGTTTTTATTCGTGACAGTAGTTCAGACCAACATACAATCATTTCATCATTCGCCAACCAATGAATGCAGAAATAAATCACGTTTTATTAATACTACTTAGTCCATTTATATTTATTCATTGTTGTCAAATAGGTAGATTAGGATAACAAATAATATTACTAAATATTAAGAAATGTGTGTGTTTTGTATTCGTGTGTGTGTGTTTGTGTGTGTTGGTGTGTGTGTGTGTCTTTTACCAATTTTTCGTACAATTGGTAACATTTAGTAGGGTCTATCCTATCTTAAGATTGAATTGTAACGATCCGTCATCCCTTGATAATATTAAATCGTCAGCCACAATATATAATATATATATAATAATAATATATAATTTATAATAACAATAGCCAGATGTTACAAGATTGTACTAATATGTCACGGTAATATAATAATGTAAATAATTTTAATTATAATTATATATATTTATGTGGCCCAACCATATAGTCATGATGATAAGATAGCCAAGCCAAAAACAACATCAAGCTCCTGATGGAATGAGATTCCTTATTTTTCACACTGAAAAATTGTTATTATTTTTATTATAATTTTTATTATTATTGTTGTTGTTTCATTATTATTACTAAAAAGTTAGTTATTCAGTCGTTGAGGTTTTTACGCAAGCAGCGTGTTAGTTTTAGGTAATTTACGTGATAGAAATTATGCTGAAAATTTTTCTGTTTCGAAATGCTGATTAAGGCAGTTGATTATAATGTGCGCTTAACCCCAGGCCGACTTTAAAGATGTGCGGCCCTAAGAAAATAAAAATTGTAAACCCTTAATTATTTCGTGGAAGTCGCCTAATTACTTGGTAGAGGCCCAGGTTTAGTTGGTGTATGATCTTAATTTATTCATTGGAGGCACCTCCTTATTAATCATTAATGAATTAAATCTGCATATATTGATGTGGTTCATTATTTATTAGTGTACGGTACACATAAACAATAATGAATTAATTATTAATTAATTATTAATGACTAACGACTAATGACGTATGTTGAATTTAGTGAATTTGTTAGTACGAACTTATGATACTAAAAGACACTTTGTTGTGAGTTAAAATACATAAAACAAACACAATTCAGGCGCAATAAAATATTATCTTTATTCCCACGTAAAAGACACTTTGTTGTGAGTTAAAATACATAAAACAAACACAATTCAGGCGTAATAAAATATTATCTTTATTCCCACGTGAATCTCCAACCGTTTCGTTTACAAGCTATCAGTAAAAAGAGAAGAAATCGAGGGAGAAGCAAAGACATAAAAATTAACATAGATTAGGTAACATTGAAATTGCAATAATCTTTAATAATAATTAATACATAAGATAGTTAATAAATGAATGTTTGATTCCTACTAATTATTGATCAATTAATTATATTAATGACTAACGATAAAGGCTGTACTATCCACACACACCACACGACACCACAGGACGCACACACACATAGTGCACCGTACCATACGCTTATGATGGTCTTTGACTTTCGGGGAACTTCTACCGACTGAGCTAAATCCGGTGATCAGTAATTAGTGGAGGTTTTTAATTATTCAGTGAAGGTCACTATATGTTCGGTAGGAACTTTTACTTATTCCTGAGAAGGACCCAATTATTTAGTGGGAACCTTTGAATATTTAATGATAGCTTCTAATTTTTCTACTTTAGAGACTCTTAATTATCTAGGAAAACGTCTAATTTATTTGTGAAGGCTACTAATTATTTAGTGAGGGCCCTTTACTTATTTAGTGGATGGTTTTAAATATTCATTGAGGGTCCTTTATTATTCAGAGGAAGCCGGTAAAAACATACCGAAGGCCCTTAATTATTTAGTGGAAACCTTCAATGGCGGATCTAGAAAACTTTACAGTGAGGGGGGCAAAAGTTTGAAAATATTTAAATTTGGACGGTGGCCAACATAACAATAAGTTTTACTGACTTTTAATAAAAAATTCTGCCCACAACGGAGGGCACTAACTCCCTGGCCCATTTAGACCTGCCAGTGGAAACCTCTCATTATTTAGCAAAGGAAACTCTAAACTATTCAGTTGAAGTTCCTAATTTTATAGCGTAGGCGCTAATTTTTCAGTGGAGGCTTGTCATTGAATACTTAAATTATTTTATTTGTCAACAATTTTGTCATGAAAGGTGTATATTTAGCATATTTTTAGGTAATTTTACTTCTGAAGGCTTGTCCAACTATCAATAATGCTATTTTTTTTAAACTTTTATAAGTAACTTCCATTTAATAAAAAGTTCAAAACGCTAACTTTGGCAGAAGAATGCTAAATATTAACTTATACTCATTGCAAGTAGTAAGAAAATTTGTAGTAATGGTAGTAGTAGTAGCAGCAGCAGCAGTAGCAGTAGTAGTAGAAGTTGTTGTTGTTTATGTTGTTGTTATAAAAACAGCTGCAGTAGTAGTAGCAGTAATATTATTATTATTAGTAGTATCAATAGTAGTAGTAGTAGTAGTAGAAAGTAGTAGTAGTAGTAGTAGTAGTAGTAGTAGTAGTAAAATAGTAGTAGTAGTAGTAGTAATAGCAGCAGCAGCAGTAGTAGTAAAAGTGGTAGTAGTAGTAGTGTTAGTAGTTGTAGAAGCAGCAGTAGTAGTAGTGGTAGTAGTAGTAGCAGCAGCAGTGGTATTAGCAGTAATATTAATAGTAGTAGTAGCATTAGTAAATTTATCAACTTATCCATTCGTGTAGGTAAACAAATTTATCTCCAGCTTTGTTATGAGACACGAATCATTCCATTTTTTTATCTACCTATGACTAGACTATATCGAAATGATTTAGTGTCTTGTTTACTTGAAAGTAACAGCAATTATAATAATAACTGCAAGGACACTAGTAACTTAATAGCAACAATAAAAATGATGATGTCATTAATAATGAATGCCATGATGATGCAACTAAGAAAAATCATTATGCGCGTGTTAAAACCCAACTCTGCTGCGCGAGTTAAAACCCACCCAACAATGCTGATGTCAGGTGATGTCACGCCGCGCACCGTTCGACTTTTAAACGGACGTGACGTAGGCGTTCGTTACACACGACACACACATATAACACACAACAACAACAACAACAATAATACTATTAATAATAACAATAACAGCAACATAAGCGATAATGATATATTCGTAATAAAATCCAATTGCACAAAAGTATGAATGAAAGAATGAATGAATGAATAAATGAACGAATGAATGAACGAACGAACGAATGAATGAATGAAAGAATATATAAATGAATGAATGAAAGAATGAAATAGATTTAGTATAAAGGTCTGTCTTAAAATTTGGTCAGGCCATTCTGTTTTGACACACTTTGCTAAGTTTGCAATCAGTGCCGAGGTAAGCACTTTAATTTTCAATGCTGTCCTAAATTTTTTCGATATTTTAATCAAACAAATGTGAAAAATAAGAAAAGATAGATTTTTTTCAAAAAAAAACTTGAAAGAAAATTTTTTCAGAATTAAATGAATATACTTTTAATAGGAAAACTACATCGAGACCTCTGAAAATGTTTCGCCCGCTCACTAAACTCGCGATGAATTTGAAAGTAAGTTCGTCAGTTTCGCCATTGGTGTGTGTGGACACAATCAATCGCTACAGTAGTAGCGTCTCAGCGCAAGCCGAGCCACAGAAGCAGCATGATTATTACAAGGAATTGTTGGCGAACTCTTCAAAAGGACGCAATGAAATTGTTAACCATGAGCTCTTCTCCAGTATCAAAAACATGGAGGGTATGAGAATCTTCATGGAGAATCATTCCTTTGCTGTTTATGACTTCATGACGCTTTTGAAGAGTTTGCAGAAGAGGTTTACATGCGTCAGACCAACTTGGACTCCGCCCAAGAACCGAATAGCTGCTAGGCTCATCAATGACATTGTTACTGGTGAAGAGACGGACGAGGTGGTTTGCATTTGATTGAGGAATGTCTTTAATGGATTGAAGTGGGAGTGGTTGTTTGAATAAATTCTATTGAAATGCGTTTGATAGTTTGCCGTGACATTGTTTCAATGCAACTGCTTGGTGATCCTGTCTGAATGGGTTAAGAGTTTTTGAAAGTAAAAATAATAATCTGTATGTAGGGCGTTTAATTGACAACAACATAATTTTGGTGTTCGTAATCATACTTTTATTTCAATTTAAAAAAACAAAATTTTCAATCGCAGATATTAAAAAATATATAAAAACTTGCACAAGGTTGAACCACATGTCTACATCAGCCACTACGAACTCTACCTGGACGCAATGAAGCAAGTCGGTGCCAACACAAGCCCAATCCTTGCTCTGACCTCAACCATGGAACAGACCAACGACCCTCAGAAATCTCTCGAGGCCGCCCGCGAAAAAGGGGCAACGAAACATGCTCTGAAATTCGTGGAAGAGACTTTCGAAGTGAGTCTGAATGAGAAAATTCCGGATCACGTAGTCGCCGCTTATTTCCTGTTTGGTAGGGAAGATCCCATTCCGGATATGTTCAGAACGATGCTAGACAAAGTTTGTTTGTTTTTATTTTGATTTTTCTTTCAGTCTTCATTTGCTACAGTATATATAATTGAATTAAAACTTCTCAAAAAATTTCCACCAGATCCCGCAACTCTACTTGAAGAAAGATTTCGTCCTCTACCTGGAACGCCACATCTTTCTGGACGAGGAGCACCATGCACCCATGGCCAAACGACTCCTGCAAAGCCTCTGCAAAGATGATGAAAAACTTTGGCAGCAGTGTGCTGAAACTGCTGCCAAAGCCACTTACTCTAGGGCTCGCTTTTGGGATGGGGTCCTGGAGCAGGTCAAACATCTTTAAAGTTTTTTAAAGATGAGAAAAAAACATAGAGGAGAGAAAGAAAGAGAGAAGAAAAAGAAAGAGGGACTTATTGAAATTCATATTATTAAACAAATTTTTGTGTTTGAAAAATAAAAACTTATATAAACTCAAACGTTTTGATTATATCATTTCGCTATATTTTTTTCTATAGACGTAGAATTTTACAATGTTTTTGAATCTTTTTTCTATTTTAACCTGATTTGATTTGACGATTTAAGCTGGTGAAAGACATTGCTTCATTTATTTCATTATTCCAGATGCTTGCATTTTAATAACTATTGTTTATAGAAAATGATATAGTCTAGAAGTTAAGTCAGCAAATAACTCACTTCATATTTATCTCCCCCTTCTCTCTCTCTCTCTCTCTCTTTCTTTCTCTCTCTCTCTTTGTTTTTTTATTCTTTTATTCATTCTCTCTTCTTTTCGCTCTCTTTTAAATTTTTTATTCTTTCTTCTCCTCTCTCTCTCTCTCTCTCTTTTCTCTTATATTTAATCCCTCTCTCTCTCTCTCTCTCTCTCTCTCTCTCTCTCTCTCTCTCTCTCTATACATTCTTCTCTCTATTTTTACCGTTCTTTCGTTCACCATCATGTCTCACTTGAAATTATTTTTTAATTAAATTGAATAAATACGATTAATTAACATCTATTTAAAAAATGCCCATTACATTGTAGCGCATTATTTCACCAAAAACAGATTTTATTGCAAAAAAAAACTATCCATTTTCTTCTAACAATTTTTTTCGATTCAAATTAAACGAACCATGAAAGAGAGAGAAACATAGACAGACAGACAGACAGACATACAGACATACAAAATATATAAAAAAAGATATTATCAAACAAACTAAAAGTAAGACAGAGCGAACGAGAGAGAGAGAGAGAGAGGGAGAGAAAGAGAAACCTCTCAATAGCAAATTTTCACAAACCTTTTATGTTTCTCCCTGCTGTGAGGAAATATTCTTTGATAAAATAGATGCAGACTGAATTAAATATCAAATATATAAAATCTACAAGATGGAATGGAATTACATTTTTCTTCTCCCTATCTGACGAAGCTTGTTTGTTCTTTAAAATTCAAAACGCGTTCGAATGGATGCGCTCATTCGATTAGTAGATTTCTTTGATAATTGAAATCTGCGAATGGATTTATGAGAAATTGTGTATGCATCTTTTTGTTTGTTATATTTTTCTTTTTTGTTGTTTGTAATTTAGATGCAGATATATAAACGGGAGGGTCCGATGAAAGTTTCCAATTAACCCGAAGGATTTTTAATTAAATTTTGAATTTGAAAGCAAAAAACTCGTATATTCAATCAACAAGTTTTGAATCTGAAAATTCTAGACAATAATTATACTATTTATATCTTAAAATATATTAAAATTAAGTAGAAAATATGTTGTAGTGGCTTCAAACAATAATATTTGCACTAATCTGAAGTAAATGTTTGGCAAAATGATCACAGTATTGGTTTTAGCATTCAGTCTCTTGGCAAATTTCATTGTAAATTCATCCATAGCGGGCTACAGAGATGAAGATCGTGATGATGTTTCTATAGATTTTTCTTCAAATTACCCGGAACGTAAATACATAACCCAGACATTCAAATCGGGTAAAAAACATGCTAATATAATAATAATTGTTTTATCTTTTAATTTCATAGCTATATCAAATTAATTTTACATTTATTATGAAGTTATAAATACATTTTTCCTTTAAATTTTCAGCAAATTCAAATGGTAAACTTACTTTCAAAAATCTGTACGACTATTTAACGAGTTTCAGTAATGATTTAGCAGCAGCAGATGCTAACAGTATAGGCAAGTTTATTTTTTTGACAATATTTTCAATAAATCATTTCAATGTTTTAATTGTTTCGATTGAGACATTAATTTACATTAACTTGTTTTATTTGATTATAAATAGAATTCAAATTTCAAAATCTGACCAAAGCTATCAGCACGCATTATCGTGAAAACCCTCTTAACGGATTTTAACATTTTACATTAAAACAATAACAACAACCCCATAAAACGAACAAATGGCCTCACACACACGCACACACAACACACACACAAACAAACAAACACACAAACATACAACACACACACACTCAAACAAACAATCACACAAACATACAACACACACACACACACACACTCAAACAAACACACAAACACACAACACACACACACTCAAACAAACAAACACACAAACATACAACACACACACACACTCAAACAAACAAACACACAAACATACACAAAAAAAAACAATCACGTACACAAACAACACACACACAAACACACACACAAGCAAACACATACACAGATACCGACACAGTTTTTCTACCACCGTTCCCCGACAACCACTACCTGAAACGGACGAACGGTGTTTCTGACCAGACGATGAACAAATTTCTATCGAAGGCGCGAGTTTTGAAAGGAAAAGATGACGACACTGGCTCCAATAACAATAAGAATGTTTTCATTGAGCCTCCTCTTAGATTCGGAAAAAAATAAATTTAATTATATAAGTAAATATATGAATGGCAATTAAAACTAATTAATACTAATGTGAATAAATCTTATGGATGATTGATTAATTTATAATTAACTCAATTAAAATTTAATAAAGTTATCGTTGAAATGTTTAATAAAACTGAAATTAAGATTACGTTGTGATTGTTTTAATTAAAATTAACGAAATCATCAATGATAAATTAAGTAAAACTCAAATTAATGACAAATTAACATTTACTTATTTCGATCAATCAATTAATTAGTTTATAAAGCGCTATTTCCGCGATGTTCAAAAGCGCTTCTCAATGAATTTTGCAAACAGATGGTTCTTGAGATCCGCTCTGAACTTTGTAAGTGATGGAGAAGTAGTCAAAAAAGGAGGTAGAGAGTTCCAGGAAAAAAGACCAGAAAAAGCAAAAGCAGATTTAGCAAAAGAGTGTTTAACACGAGTTTAAAAGGAAATACATATACTTGAGAATATTCAAAGAAGGGCAAACGAAAATGATAAAGGAGTGTCGCGGAGATAAATCAAATTCACAAGTAAACGAAATAGAGTAATGGTTAAAGTGCCTGAAGTTGTTGTTGCATTTTATGGATTCAAATACTAAAATAACCCAACTTAAGCATCCAGATTTCAGATCGTGTATTTCATAATTTCGTCCATAAGCAAAAAAAACAGATAAAGTATCGTTTAGTATCATAGAAAGAACATGAAAAAAATCTACTATCCAGTTATTTTTTACCAAAAATTATCCTATCTACACTAACTAGAGATAGCATAGACAAATAAAACGAAATGATAAAAAGATAATATATGCCAAAAAAACTCCAACGCAAGAGCGTTTGTTTATTGATTAGTATGATTTTTACGTGGAAGAAAAATTCAAAAATTTTCTTTTTTGTGTAAGCCATGTTACCAGAACAATAAGAATTTACATTCAATTTGCATGTCTATCATAGGGCACATAAAAGTTATCCTGTAGAATACTTTCATATATATACCTGTGTGTGTTTATATATGTGTGTGTTTGTATGTTTGTATATGTGTGCAACAGTTGCAGCAACAGTCGCTGCAGCAGTCGCAGCAACAGCAGACAACTTTTGATAAATTTACATCAGCCTATAGTAGGTTAATAACAAAACGACAAAAAACGCCTGTTTGTTTCAATGAGCAACTCCTCTATACGTTGAAGTCTCAGTCCAAATCCAAAAAAGGGTGTATCCTATTGTGCTTGGTAATCATTTTTATACAATATTATTATTAGTGATGGTGTGGGCCGAAACGATTTTCAGTTTAAATTTAATAATTTCATTAAAATAAATATATAAATGCTGTAAATGTTTTATTAATTTGGGTTTAAATCATTTTTAATCATATTATTTCCAGTAATTTTCGCTGAACTTCATAAAAATTCTTTTTGTTAAAGGCCCTGATGGGAAATGGAACTGGTGGCATTAGGTACGTGCTGGAAAATGGTAGTTGCTCGTGTGTTTCCACGGGAAATGTCAATCAAGTATACTTGAATTTGAATGTGGGTTCCTCTATATGTTACGTGAGAAATGGTTTGTTTGTCTTTTTGTTATTTTAACTTGTATTAACATTGTAAAAAATGTTTTCAAATTTAAATGTATTTTTACTTACGTGGCACCAACATGACACGCTAAGAATGCGATCGAACTTGGCCAGCGCGTGATAGCAATTTGAGATACGGCATTCTTACCGTCTGAGCTATCTCGCCAAACTCTATATAGCCGACCTACCAAACGAAATAACAAACCAATCTAAATAGCCAACTTGATTGATAATTTTAAATTTTCAAATTCTTTTTCTAATTCTCACAGATTGCCCGGAGAATTTCGATCATATTATAGAGCATCACAAATGCTATAAAATGTTCTTTAACGCGATGAACTGGACGAATGGAAGGTCATTTTGTAACAGTTTGGCTTCGCACCCACTTTTGATTGAAGAGGATTTAGAATATTTTGTCTCTTTGAAATACATTGATCATGTTACTCCAAGTTGGTCTGTGAAATGATTTTTTTGCGAAAATTTAATTTTATTAAATTTCACGAGATTGATTTTCAAAATATTTAAATACAGAAACACAAAAAATTAACTAATTAAATGACTGAAACTAGAAACTAATCTAGAAATTAAAATTTTTCAAGGTTACCAAATTTGCCTGGTTTACATTCTTCACATGTGGCATTATCACGTACTTTTCACATGGCACTATAACTCCATTTCTCTGGTCCCCAAGTCCAGGTTTTATGAGAAAAATTTGAGTTTGGCATTTTATTTTCAGATTATTGAGTTAATAGTTGATCCATTAATGATGAATTATATTTATTTTAATTTATTTTATTTAAATATGGCCTGCCTAAGCAATAAAAACCATCGTTTACTGTTAAAAAAAAACTGCCATCTTATCTTTATTCCTAACATAAAATGCATATCTGTCCTTACTTATTTAGTGGCTAATGAACTTTTACACAGCCGATGAAGATTACACTGTAGGACAATGTTAGTAAATACACAACTAGATGCCCGATCCACACAGCGGTTTCAAACAAATAGAAATCAAACCAGTCACTGTGCTACAACTATGGCAAAACGCATAAAAAGACACTTTTTTTTTAGTTTGAGATAACTAGCATACAAAGTTATAGCCATATAAAAATTTACTTTTATCTGCAGTTTCTAGGTCACATTGCTATTACATAAGAACTCAAACTTCTGGCACGCAGGTGAGCCAAACTCTGATGCAGATGGAATCAACTACTGCATTCACGACGTTGTAACTGGCTACAATGGCTGAGATGATTGCTCGTGCTCGAGCTGTGCGTCTTTTGTGAGTATGATGGAGATGTGGTGTGATGGAGAAATGGGTGGAAATATTTAGAATAGTGATGATGAAAGTGTCGGGGTGGTTACGGTGACACCGATTTTGAGGCTACTGCTGCTGCTGCTGCAATGAGTTCTAATTTATATGGCGCTCTAGGTTTTGGTGTGAGGATTTGTTAATTTATGTTGCTGGTTTGGATGATTTTATTAATTAATTAGGAGTAATTTATTGTGGTATTGTTTTAAAACTAATTTATCGATCAAATTTTCAACTTAATATGTAGATGAAGTAAATTTTAAGAAGTTTATTGTTAAGTTGATTATTCATTCATCATCATCACTGTCGTCATCAGTGCCATCATCGTCTTCGCTATCATCACAATCCATATCGGGTTTTTTATTTTCTATCTTTTTCAATAAAGTTTTGTGAGCATCGATAAACTCGTTGAAACCTAACCTACAAATAAAGGGAATTTGTTTGGAAATCTGTCTTCAACAGCACAATTTCATAACACCTTTTTTCGTCGAATGTACTTTAAAAAATAGATTACTAGGTTTTTATTGTAGAAGAACTGTGATGAAAATGTTTTCGAACTCAATAAACTCTTAAGATTTAAACAATTTTTAATGATTTTAGCAAATTTTAGGTGCTGTTTTTATTTTATTTTCCATTTTTAGTTGAAAATATGACAAAAATAAAATATCTTCATAGGTTTATTATATTTCAATGGTGAAAAAACACAAAGTAACAACACCAATGTTTCTGTGAGGAAAACCATTCCTACTTGAAAAAAATAAACTCAAAAAATTTTGCTTTAGCAAAATAGAAATTTTTTGCCCTCAATCAAGTAAAATTCGCAATACTTTACATTACAACATCTAAAAAAGTCAATTTTGAAAGTTAAAATAGTACAACAACATTGAAAAATAGTTGGAAATAACATCAAAAATAATTTTCTAAAGCCCTTTTTCAGTTACTGACAAAAAATTCTGGTATAAAATGATTAACGCAGTTCATATAATTGGTTAAAATATGAAAAAAGACATTTTTGTCGTAATAAATTTTAAAATGAAATCGTGATAATATAGCAGTTGATGTTATTCAGGTGGTTGTTGCTGCCGTGACTGTGTTGTCTGTTACATGCAATGCGATTTATTTTTGAAAGAAAGAACTCTAAAACAAAACTAAAATGAAAAATATAAAACATCTCTTAATAGTTTAACATTCTTATTAACGTAATCTTTAGAACATTCCCTGAGAAAAGACTTTATAATAATTTGAAAAACTAGACGAATGACACCTGTGACCAATAACGCACTTTTGGCACATCAAGGTAATAAATTTTTAGTCTTTTGTTCGTTTTTATTGTTCTTTTTTTTATTAGTACTATTATTATTACTAAGAAGATGGTTGAGAAGAATTTTCAGCCTATAAAATCTGGTATTATCTCCACCGTTGTTGCTGGTCTGTCTGTAATACTTAGCAGACCTGCTCGTGTTGCTCGAGCATCTCTCGAGGTCACCAACAATATCGTTATCGTAATTATAACGGTACTGAATAGTGATTCCATTACGATTGTTGTTGCTGTTGTTGTTGTTGTTGCTGTTGTTGTTGTTGTTGCTGTTGTTGTTGTTGTTGCTGTTGTTGTTGTTGCTGTTGTTGCTGTTGTTGTTGTTGCTGTTGTTGCTGTTGTTGCTGCTGTTGATGTTGTTGTTGTTATTATTAATGACATTATTGTGATAATAATCATAGTTATAAGTAACATTAAGAGTTTGATTATTATTGCTTTTATCATTATTATTATCATTATTATCGTCATTATTATTATTATTATTATTATCATTATTATTATTAAACAGTTCCCACAAACGAATTTTCATCTTTTCCAATAGCTCCCTAGCATTCTTATTCAGTGTAACAAAAATTACTGAATTTATGAACACGAGAAGCACTTGAAGTAGCTGGAAAAGCGCTTTGTAGTAAGCTTCTTTGTAGACAAAGTAGCTACTGCCACTGCAGTATGCGTAGCTCTCCGCCAAACACCCGGCTGGGTAATGGACCAGAGAATAGAAGCAGGAAAGGCTGGCTAAGAGTTTTGTGTTCTGGAAGAATGTTTGATGTAATGTTGTAATTTGCAAATAATTTAGTGGTGATTGTTTTGGAAGTTTTCATTTGAATGTTGAATCATATTTTTTTGTTCATATTTCAAATTGTAAATTCTATTCAGATGTTAAATTGTGATTTTTCAGGTTATATTTTTCAAAAATGAACAAAGTTTTATCATACTTGAATATTTCTTCGTTCTCGATCCTCGTCTCGTCTACTAACATTGTCGCGAGTCCAACTCAACAGACCGCAATGGTTTTTTTTACCTCTAGATCTTAGACACTGTGGCCCCCACGAAAATTGCTTCCCAGTAGAAATCATGCCCCAAATGAGGGCGTGAGCTAAGCAAATTAGATAACCAATCCCATAATTAAATATAAACATGTCAATCAGCACAGTCTGGCATCTCAGCAAATATACTCCATCTTTTTGTAGGCAGTATTTAACAATGAAAGTCACAATCCCGAATGGTATAAATTTATCTGTCTTTCTATTGAGAAAAAATATGAGAAACTTTGAAATGGATTTAACGGTTGCAACCAAAGCCAAATTTATAAAAGCTCCCGGCTCTTCATCAAAATATAGCAAAAAAAATTAAAGTTCATTCTATTATTAATTTTATTAAGAGGTAACAAAAAGAGCTTCGTCTCTTTTATCAAACTTTAAAACATTTGCACTTAAAACGCAAAATTTCATGGTTATATTCGAATTTCTGTTGAAAAATTAAAAAAAAAAATTTAATACAAACTTCAACTCCCAATAAAACATAATTGTGTATACAAATGTCAGGAGCCAGATAAAGACGACGAATAGAGTGGCTCTGTTCGATTTAATCATCATACAACTCATGAGACAAAATTGTCGTGCGGATACAGCAATTGCGCTGTAGAGCATCGCCAGGCCTGACCATAACTGTATGGATGGATATTGGATTGAGAATTTATCAAGAGGAATATTAGATTTTTTAATTTAAACTTAAATTTTTTGTCGTTTATAAATTACTAATAACCAAATTAGAGTTTGCATTTGTTAAGTTGGGTTAGAATGAATCACATGATCTTGAATTCTTTTTCAAATAATTTGTTGAGTTAGCGACTAATTCAGATGAAAGTTAAGTAAATGAAATACACTTACCTGCAAAAAGTCACTAGCATCAATAACGTTAATAATAAATGAGCCGCGCTCCTCGTACAATTTCGTATTGACGATTAAGTGATTCGAAGTTAGAGTCGAAAACACCAAAACAGTGGACGCCAGGGTGAAACTTCTCAAATAAATATTGCAAGAAGTTTTAGGAGATTTGTTTATTACGTAGATTGTAAAGATGTTTCCAGCCAAGGAAAATAGAAATAGGAGAATGTATGCGATGTACAATGCTGTAAGAGCTGCTTGGTTAGTATAGATGGTGTTTATTAAATTTTCTCCTTGGCTAATGTTGGCAGGATGAGCTGTGAAATAGTAAGACGAATTAGTGGTGTTAGTACCGTTGTAGAACGCTGCTGTGGTTTCGTTTTCAGACAGTTTGAAACGAATTAGCATTCTTTTCCGATCTTTAAACTCTCAAAAAATGAAAATTTTCAAAAAAGTATGTTAGAATTTTGATTTTGGGATCTGATGCTGCGATATTTCGGACGAATGTTTGTAGATAATGATGAAGTTATGCTGATGTTATCGGCACGGTAGTTTAAGACATTTTGATATTATCAATCCGATTGTTTGAAATAAATTTTAAGTTTCAGTAAATTAATTTAAAATTTTAAACGATTTTAAACATTTAATAACTAATTAAACATCTTTCCAGCACTGAGAATGCATGCAATTTGGAAAATTCGGTCAAACTAAAATAAACTGTCACATCCGAACTGCATATCACTAAACTATTGCTAATTAATTGCAAAACGTTTACAAATCAAAACAAAAATATTTTTTATTTGCTTGACTAGACGAAATTTTTCTAAATAAACTGGAAAATTTTTTATGTGTCTCATCAGCGTAGAGCAGCAAAAACACAAACACCGAACAATAACACACAATAGAGAGAGAGAGAGAGAGAGAGAGAGAGAGAGAGAGAGAGAGAGAGAGAGAGAGAGAGAGGGAGGGAGAAAGCCTAGATCAGCCACACTAAGCTGCTTAGGCAATAATGAATACTCACGCAGGCAAGAATGTGCGAAAACGCAGCCCAGGAACGGATCTATAATGAGTTCGTGGACAAAGTCATACAATGATGAAAAGAAGATAATTTGGATGAAGCATTTAATTATATATATATATGTGTGTGTGTGTGTGTGTGTGTGTGTGTGTGTGTGTATGTGTGTGTGGTGTGTGTGTATCTATAAGTATTTTTTGTGCATATTTTTCCAGATCACTGATTTGAGCAAATTTCATTTTTGAATTCCGGGTGAAAATAATTTTCAAATTAGTATGAATTGACAAAAAACTGCTACAGATAGAATTTGATAACACTTTTGTGTTATCAATCGTATCGTATCGTAAAGAAAAAAAATGATTCATTGATTCACAGTCAGTTGAATTAATCAAATTTTCTATACACGCAATTTTAAAGTGCAAAACATTCTTTCAACACATATATTTTATAGAAAAAAAACTAGAACTACTAAGAGTTTTGAAATCTTTAAATAAACATTTAAAGTAAAAAATAACTAGTTCATCATCAACTAATCAATCAATGCATCAAATTGATTGAGAAATGAATTTTAAAGTAAAATAATGTAACAGCTTTCAATCAAGGCCAACAAAAACTTCAAAAAACTGTTCCTCCAACTGAATTAACGTTGTTAATTCAAAATACTCTGCAAATCTCTGACCTCAATACAGCGGCCTAAATGTCTGCTTAATACATCATTTCAATTAACTCATTAAATCTATTTTTCGCGATCGTGTTCATACTTAAAATCAAAATTTTCAGTAAACATATATGACAAACATGTGCAAATCTTGTACTACCTGGCTTAAAAATGACTGAGTTAAAAAAACGTCTTGACAGAAATTAATGTCACGTTAAACAACTATGAATAATTCGTAATAATAAAAAAGTTATGTTGATAATCAAAAGTTTCATAAATGGAGGAGGAAAAGTTCACTGAACTGTCAAATATTTATTTTGCAGGAACAAATTTGAAAATCTTCGGTCCAATTCAAGTTTTCTTTCTCAATGTTCCAGCAAACTTTGTATCAAAAAAGTAGAAGTAGATGGGTGTGAGGATGAGACAAGCGAGCTCCAGAAATTGGCTAACAGCTGCACTGAAAGAGTTTTCGTAAATCGTTTTATGTAAGGTGGCATGGTTCATAATGGAAAAGAAGAACACGAAGTGGGAGGTGAAAGTGATAAATGTCGCCAATCTTGTATGCTGTTGGGAGTTTATTCAATAATTATGTGATTTCAATTTTCTAAAAATTTAAAATGTTCATCAATATTCCCAATTATTGTATCGTTAGAAGTTATAAAGACTGGCACGCACACATGCACAAACACACACACACGCACGCACACAACACAGACGCGCAAATTACGGCCTTCAACTTTCTGCATTTAATTTGGTTAATGCGTGGCAGCAACAGGTCCCGTGACCCATTCAAGTACCTGGGTTCTTGCCGACCGAGCAATTTAACAATTATCACTATTGGATTTGCGCTATAAAAATGAAGTTGATTGATCGATGGCTTGTTAACAATAGGACTATCATTGCTACTACGAAAAATTTTTTAAAACTTTATAACATTTATGTGAAAAAATAACTTACTTTAATATTTTGGCGCTCAGCCTTCTGAACCTGAATTACCTCTTTAGAAAACACAGGCAAAAGGCAACACAACACTTTACCGTTTTTATTACTTTGGCCGCTAGAAACTTTGCCAATAGGGCTGTCTTTGTTATCTTTGTCAATGGCTTCGCATTCATTTTGATCATTATTTTCAATGACTTTGTCCTCATTCGTGCTGCTAACAGCTTTGCTTTTATTTCTGTTGTTATTTGCCAAGTCCTCGGCCCTTTCCAAAATCCTCTCTAGTCTGCTGATATGTTTATATTGTAGTTCACGACGGAGTAAGAGCCACAGTACTGAGTGCGCCAGACAATGATAGATGAACATAATGATGAATAACTTGAATACATGCCACGGTACGAAGTACACCTCAAACCATCTATCAAAAGTGAGATTCTTGCAATCGCATGGAATATAAGCAAACTTTTTTTTTGTGGATTTTCTGTTAATATTAGAGTTAAAGTTTAGAGAAAATTGATTTAAAATAGATACTAAACAAGTCTACGTTACTAAAGGAAAAAGAAAAAAATGTCTTACTACACCGAAGGACAAAACTTACGATGAATCGCTGGCCACTGATGGAGCTGACGAAGAGCTAAAACGATTAGGAATTATAAATTGAACATGTAATTTTAACAAAATGAAATTGAATTTAGCATTGCATACCAACATTAATGATAAATAAAAAGATATGACCATCGCCAGCGAAGTCAGCCAAACGAATACATTCTGGAAGATGGACATGAGCTTTGACGGATTTTTGATTATTAACAATTTAACTTTGGTGCTCGTAAGAAAATGAACCGTCATAGACAGAACTATCTGTGAGAAGAACTAGAAAATGGGTTGATTATTCAATATCATGTTATATTATTATTGTAATTATTATTATTATTATAACTCGAAGGTGCTTCTTTGTTTGAAAAAAAAGTTTAAAGCTGTTTCCAGCACTTTTTTTGTAACGAATATAAAATCTCAAATAAAAATATTAATTCGTTGACAAGGGTTTAACAGCCAAGGCTGTTTTTATTCTTAAATGACTAAAAAATTAAATAAAATAATTAAATTTTACATTAAACTTTCATTTTATACAGGATAGGCTTGTACAAACTTAAATGTATTATCACGTGTAAAAGTCTACACATTATTGCACTGCCCTATATATTTGAATATAAACATTTACCTATAACATTCAAACTTTACCAACTTCTATCGAAACAGCTAAGTTAGACATTTCCCGGATGTAAACTGAATTACGGAGAAAAATTTGGTTGCGGAAGAGAGAATTCAGAATCACTAGAATGCTACCTACAGTATAGCTAATCAATAAAGAGTTACACTCAGTTCTGGCAGAGGTCCTAAGATAGTGAAGTACCATTATGTTTCCAGCTAGTGCACATATGAACAGGAGACAGTAGAATATGCAGAGTGTTATAACTTCAGGAGAGTGGAAAGAGAAATCAATCAGAGTTGTGTTTTTACCATATATATGGTAGAAGGTACAGTTACAAAGCGTTTTACAATCGTCGGACATTTTCAGACTCTTTAAATTTGTGGATCAGATCTAGAAGAGCAAATTTGGAATTTATGTATCTATTTCCCCTGCAAATTTGAAAAAAAATTTATAATATATCGCTATTCTCTCCTAAAATTTTTTATTTTTCTCAAAAGCAACAGTGGAAAAAAATCGACACATCACACGTGGAAACACGTTAAGCAACGCATTTCAAATGATAGAGAGAAATTCTTTGTATTCAAACTCGGTCACTGCAAAGTCAAAGCCAGACACCATAACCATTACACTAACGCAAAAATAAATATACTCTAATGTTAGAGTAGTAACATTTGTGATTTGTGATTAATTTTCATTACCAATGATACAATGATGATTAAATTTGAAAAAATTGCTAAAAGGCAAGAAATTAAGACGAATTAAATATAACTAAATTACTAAAGACTACATTCTTATGGAATAAAAATTGAAACATCGATATTTTAAACTTACTCTTCAGTAATTTGAATTCAGATTTGATATACGAACAGTTTCTATTACTCACTTACTATGAAAATCTTTTTTTTACCTCTATTTTATTTCAATTAAACAACGAATTCTAAAATTCCCTTTGTACTCCGCACAAACACAAAAACCATCGAAACTCCTCTATGTTAATCAGCTAACGCTTTTCTCACTCTCTCTCTCTCTCTTTCTCCCTTTCTCTTGCTCGCTCCCTCTATCTCTCTTTTTTTCTATATATATATATATATATATATATATATATATATATATATATATTAACACACCTATATATTTATATATAGGTGTGTGTGTGTGTGATCGTGTGTGTGTTTTTGATCGTGTGTGTGTATGTGTTATTGTGTGCTTAGCACAAGGTGTGTGCGTATGCATGTGATACAAAGCTTATAAATATTCATATCTTAGCAAAAACTGGACTGTTTATATATATATATATATATATACCTATATATATTGAAAGAGAGTTTATATATAATATATGAGCATTTATATGGCACTTCTTTTATAGAATCTAAAAAAAAACAACAAATACATAACAAGAAATAAAAAATAAACTATGAAGGTTATCAAACTTGTTATTAGTGACAACCATTTTAATTTATTAACCAAAATCGTTACGTGTCGAATGAAGCTGCTGCTAGCTCCGCATCTGAATCTCCGACCTTGACCTATTTAGCTGGCCATGAAGTCTCATATAATTGATGACAAAACTTGAAAGTAGACACAAAGTGGAAATGATAAATAAAGTTATAGTTATTAAATTCTACCAAATTCTTAGCGTTAGATAACTTGTGGTAGCATCTACCGATATTTTTAAGAACAGTTTAAGCATAATTTTATTTTCCAATTTATTAAAGTTAACAGGATTAATGCAGATAAGGGGTCTTATTTCAATGTAGGTACCTCATTTTCAGTGCAACGTGTAAGAAGTTCAAAGATGTCATGGAAGTTTTTTGAAAGGTTGACAAGGTTCCTCGTCTACTAGAGTTTATTGTGCTTCATAAGATTTATTATTTTTGTTGGTGTTGCTCTGATGCGGCAAAACCACGACCATGAAGTTTCACTGACGACTAAAATTTTTAACGGCGCAAAGACAAAATGATATCGTCCATTGATCCTTTGTGGGTTGCTCCATATAGATGGAAAATAAGATAGTGTCATGATGTTAATGTTTTTCAATGCTGTCGAACGCAATTTTAAATAGTTAAGTATAATTTTTAAAAACATTGCACGAGCACAAAGTTGGCACTAAACTGCATTTTTCCCAAATTACAGGTTTTGTTAGTAACATAACACACACACACACACACACACGTTTATTTAGAACACATTTTCTTTCAACGAATGACGGATCATCAAACGAAAATTAGTTTTAGATTGCATCAAGTTATAATACTTTGTACTATTTGTTTCACAAAAAAAGACCAAAACTACTTTTGAATAAGATTTTTTGACAAATAAGAATATAAGAACTAATAAAGGAGCCTCGGTTTTATTTCATGATGAAAATAAAGTAAATTAGCAAAACATAACTGAAACCTTGACTTGAATCGCCAAATTTAATACTGCACAAGGACAGGTTGAAACGTATTTGACCTACGGCAGCTGGTTTTCTTCCTCAGCGCCTGGAAAAATTTTGGCTCACAAACGTTAAAATAAATAGGAGTTGAGATCAAACAAGCAAGTTCCAACAGCTGGGCAACAGTTGGGTAGGAAGTGTTCATGTAAATTGGTCTAAATAGGCTGATACCAATAAAAACTTCAAGAGGGATGATGAGGAGGTAAAAGGTGTAGGTAACAGCCGATAACAAAATAGCGTGCTGTCGGTTATAAATTAGAATAAAATTAGTTAAATACTAATTAATTTTTATATTAATATGAATTAAATATTATAATTAACTATATTGTTATAACTCACTGGAATACTTTTGTTTTCCAAATCTTGGGCTTCATCGTCAGACTTTTTGTCCAGAGGAGCAAGCGTGCAGCTGAGCTCTGGTGTGGGCTCACGGCAATTTATTCGATCAGCCTGCCATCTCCGGTGAAGCAAATACCACAACTCTCCGTGTATCAGACTGAATAAAGCTAGCTCAACCAAGTAAACAAAACAAAGGACCAATGGCAAGTAGTAAACCTCGAACCATCTATCTACGGGCAGGTTAGTACAATCGCAGGGAACAATCTCAGGAGTTGTGGGCTCGAAAAACAGGTCAGTCATGCTTAAAATTGAAAAAAATTTAAATTGAAGTTATTTCAAGTAAACTTTTTATTAGAAATTTGAGTTTATATTCGATGAATTGCTAATTGTTGAATGGCAATTGTTTATAATGAGCGAAAATGATGGAATAACAATGAAAATAAATACACAAATTACTTACTCGGGTTTGTAACAAACCAACAGCGTACCCAAGAGCGGCACCAGCCAAGTAGTCAAAACTTTGAATATTGAAAATGATCTTGACGTCTTCTTGAAGATCACTAATTCATATTTTGTAACAGTGAGGAACATCACACTGGACGCCATTGACATTAGAGCAAAAAACTGGAGAAAATTTAGAAAACTTATTTTCACTTTTGTTTTTTCATTGACTATTTAATATAGAAATTTTTTAATTGACTATTTAATATAGAAATTTCTTGACGAAATTCTGTTTAAAACATAGAAATAAAGTGAACGGATTAGTAAAAAAGGCCCTCAACTTAGGATTTGAAAATCAGTCCCCACAAAAACTCGAACAAGCAAAGAAAAAGATCATCATCCTTTTGAAATCGTCTCCCATTCCCCACCGCAATATTTTAGATACGCCACTGCACATTTCTATCAATATCTATACAAGGTCACAGAGTTAGCTCAATCGGTAAAAGCGCCATATCTCGCGCTGCTAACACGTCATGGAACGGTTCGAACCCTGTCCGAAGCTCGAGAACCATCATACGCGTATGATGCGCTGCTTGCACGTGCATTGCATACAAAATGTGTATGCGCAGGGTATGTTGCGGATAGTACGCATCACATTACAACATCCTGGCCATACACGCGATACACAAATTTGAATTAATAGATAAAATATTAGCTATACCAATATTTACACTTAATATTTACACTTACATTTAACAGGCTTGTGTAACTGATGTAGCTCCAGATAAAACTTGAGTTATAAACGATCAGCTGGTTTGACAGTGGAGTAGTCAGGGTTAGGATTAGACTGCATATGGTGTAAGATAACAGTAATGCGTTGCAACATGTTCTTGCGGAGATTGTCAAAAACCAAAGGAGAATCGAGTTTGCAATGAGAGATAGTATGAAGAGGAGAGTATAGGGGACGAGCAGTGTTTGGAAGGCCGTAGATTGAAACAAGTCAGTAATGTTTTCATCGCTAACTTCGACCGTAGAGCAATTGCAGATTGTGTTGTTTTTGTAGAGATACATAGTTCAGGATATGGTATTTGTTGTTGTTGCTGCTGCTCTGAAGTTTTAAACTGCAAGTTTGATTTTGCTGTTTCTTCTTAAACCTGAAGTGAAGTTATTAGTAGTGAATAAGTTTCAAATGTAAGTAAGGTATTGTATTATGTTCACACATTCTTTGTTTTCATCTATTCATTGTTTTTAAACATGAAAATAAATTAATTATTGATAATTAATTTGATTTGAAAAAAAGAACAAACTTGATTAATTTTCATCAATAATCAAAATTTAAAAAATAAACTTACGGAGTTTCTTAATCAACCATTCACCACAGAAATTTTTAAATAAATATTCACTCAAATTTAATCCTCCTATCCAACATTTCTTTTGTTCTAAAGAAACAAAGACACAACCGTCCAAGCGCCAATCATGAATATTTATCAGCTGGGCATTCGTTTGGTAAGCAACACACGCACACACACACACATACACACAAACAATCACACATGTTCTAACTTACATAGGTATATATTTGTTTTATTTATGTATATCTATATATCTATATTTGAATTTGTGTGTGTGGTTGTGTGTGTGTGATTGTGTGTATGTATGTGTGTGTGTGTGTGTGTGTGTGTGTGTGTGTGTGTGTGTGTGTGTGTGTGTGTGTGTGTGTGTGGTGTGACAAACACCGAGCTCTACCTACTAATGAATATGCACGCTGAACTACAGGCCATTTTGGTTTCGTAAATTTTCGTAATTTTCAATATAGGATGATACTATCAAATAATAATCTATTTTGAAAGAATTTTTTATTGATCTGTTTGTCTTTTTAATTTTAGGTTTTTCAAGCTGTGTGTTGTGTGTGTTTTGTATTATTATCTCCCCACTATTGAGACTATAATAGAAGCATCTCATTGTTTTGTTTAGTAACAAAATTTTCAATTTTCTGTCAAACTTTTTCAAAATGACTGATTAAAACCGTTACAAATTGTTTAGCCCAAAAATATTTTTGGTCAATCTAGTATGATTAAAATGAAAAGAAATTGACATTGTTATTGTGGTTACTGACATTGTTATTATGGTAACTGGTATGTAATTTGTATTTCGATACATTTTCTCTCGAGATTTGCTATTTAAAATTATAAAAACATAAAATTAAAATGTTTTTTTTAACAGATTTGGCACACCTACTCCTCAAAATTAGCAATCATCTGGTTGGTTATCGTGAAGGATCACTTGGATGAATGTATTTTGGCCTCATTTTACTCTCAGAACAGGGTAATTAATAGCATTCTTGCTTGTTATTTATCGGCGCTATTTCGGTCTCACAAGCATACACACTCACACACATCACGCACACACAGACACACGCACACACCTAAACATACACGTCCAAATACATCAAAGTATGCTGTATATAAATATAGTGTTGTATGTTTTTTACTATAGACACGCCTAGGTGTGATAAAATTTGAATAGTTTGAAAAATGTTTCAAACTAAATTATCATGCAGCATTGATAAAAAGCCATTGGTTTGTTCATTTACACACAAAAAATGCAATTGAACGCTTAAATATCGAATCATTGATTATTAAACTATTAAACAGAAAAAATAATAAAGATAATTTTTTCCAGATCTTGGAAAATATTTCATTACAAAATCACCAAACGATTTCCGACTCAACAGTCTTTAAACCATCCGACTTACATATCTTCTGTTTCGTACTCACAGGATAATTTGGTCCCATGAAATAAATCCAAAAAGGAATAAAGATTGTACAAAAAAGAGTTATGAGTCTGAAACATGTGATTGAAAAGAAATGTTCATCTTTGTTGCTGTGGTTTTCACTGAGAACAAATGAGAAGATGCTGTCGGTGGCCGGGAGGAAAACTATGGAGAGGATGAAAGTACTGCAGACTGGCATCCATGAATGATGTTTGTGATTTGTTGAAATGTTGAAAAAATTTGTAATATTTTCTGCCATTTTTCAGTATTTTTTTAATTCCAACTCAATTAAAGTATGTTATATATGCTAATGTGAAATTGGTAAGAAAGAAATATTTTAGAATTCGAATAAACCCAAGATTATATCTATCAATGAATGAAGACAAAGAGATCGCCTTTCAGACGATTCTTTGTCCTCGCATAATTTTTAACATTGAATAAACCAAACCAGGTAAGCAAATATATATTAACGCATATATGAATACATGTATGCAATAGACTCTTTTTACTCTTTTTCTCTCTCTTTTTCACTTTCTCTCTATATATGTTCATGCTGGTTTTAAAATTATTCCAAACCATCCAATCACGCAGATGTTTTATACCAATGAATATTTATTTTTATAAAAAAAAACCGTGTAAATCATCCAAGTTTAAATTACTTTTATAAATAATAAATAAAATTATTATAAATTCCATCCATTCGCCAAAAAAATGTAGATATTTTTAAATCTTTTCCAAGTAAAATCTTTGAAAAAATCATAGCTAGCTGCATATGTTGGCCTTATAAGTACAGTAAGTCCTCTTGTTGAAAGAACAACACAAAAGATATATAGTCCTTACTACACTATGCTACACTATGCTATTCTATACTATAATAGAGTAGACACAACACAAAAGATATATAGTCCTTACTACACTATGCTACACTATGCTATTCTATACTATAATAGAGTAGACACATTGCTTTGTTGACCTATAATGTTGTATTGATCACTTATATGCCAATGTCCTTGGAACTAAGAAGCCTTTGCTTCCTGTGTTAGTGGTTGTTGTAGTAGCTTCGTGTTGTGGCGTCGTGTTTGTGGCATACATACACAACACATACACACGCACACACACTCTCTTTCTTTCTTTCTTCCTCTCTCTCTCTTTCTCTCTTTCTCTCATTCTCACTTACTCATTCACACACACACACACTCGTAAAGGTGTTTATCAAAATCAATAGGCTTTTTTTAATGTTTTGTGACGTGATTTGAAGATGAGTGAATTTTTATTATATTTTCTTACTTGCAGAATATTTTATTAATTATGATATAAATTGAACAATTTAATTCAATGTTTTAATTTTCAAATTTAAAAATTTGTGAAGTTTTTACGATAAATAAACTAACCTCAAATCACCGTTCTTACTCACCAATAAATGAGCCAACTCGTTTTTATAACTGAAAATTGTTTTTTTTTGACAAAATTAAATTTGAAATGGTTTCCTTGAAAATTTAATAACAAATATGAATGCAAAATATTACAAAATGTTAGCATTTGAATTTTTTTTTAAATTTTAATAAAAATCAAACAATGTAACATTAAAAAAACAAACTTTGAATCATGTCTCTAAAACTAAAAAAAAAAAACAACTAAAAACTTCTTATATCAATAAACCACAAAAATGAAAAATTATGATGTGACAAATTGTTTGAAAGTCTGCTAACATACGTGCGACACTTTTAAAATATACATAGAAAATAATAACTGTATAATAAGATTATAATAATTACTATAATAATAATGATAATAATAATAAAACAATGTAAACTCTAATATGTAATAATAAAAAATGTAAACCTAAAATCACGTCACACGAAAAGAAAAATCAAACTTCAAGATGTAAATTGTCACGGGCCATTGAATAAAGTAAAATATTCAATGTTTTAATTACTATAATAATAACAATGTAACATTGTTATTTAAAGTATATAAACTCAGACCATTGAATATTAACAAACCCATTAGCTAATAAGGTAGCTGGTTGCAGCAATCTACGGCTTCGGAATCTGTTCCAGAGTTTGTTGTCTTCATTTTGAAAGTAAAACACCGATCTTTTTTTAGCTATTAATTCTCAACAACTGATCAAATAGATATTAAAAAGTGGAATGTTTCATACTTGGATCATGAGCTGCGTATGTGAGCACTTCAAAGGCGTTCAGGTTATTGGGTTGAGTAGTTATCTGTTGAACAATGATGTACCAGACGGCTGGGATGTTTGCATTGTACCTCAGTGAGCAGAACAAACGAAGAAGTGACTGTCACACTGGTTGCACAGGTAGTAACTACCTCTCACTTTTGCCGATTTGTTGTTTGTTCCTCCGGTTATGAACTGCTCCATACGTTTAACTGTAAAATATTTCACCTTTCCGAAAAACTCAATTTGCAAAAATTTTTCATTTAAAAAATTTCTCACTAAATTTATATTTGTCTTCTATTCAAAATTACACAAAATTCCATCGACGACTAACAATCATTATTAATAGTCGTTGGATAGAGTCGATATGGCGAGGTTCTTCCAGATCAATCATCAGCCAGTGAAAAGTAGTTACAGAATAACTAATGAAGCACTCGCAATAAGATGCGTGGAAATTGGCAAACTTTCCATCGGTAGCCTTCGACGGAGCACAGCAGCCCACAGGTAGGCAAACTTAGTCATCGTACGCGTCAGCTGTTGCGTTTTTGCCCAGAGCTATATTTTTCCCTTTTAAGAATTTTTTGATTTATTAAAAAACTCACCGTGAATAATCTTCATTTATTAACTTCAAGTTTTTGAAAAGTTTTTTTTATGAAAAAGGTTTATCTTTTCAATTCTGATTTATAATCTTTTATAACCTGCTGCGATTAATTCCAGTTGAAACATGAGTACAAGAAGCGGTTTCATTACTGACAATAAATTCTATCAATTATCTCAAATACAGTTTTAATTGTTTCAATGAAATGTGTAATATTAAGTTTATTAGTGACAATACAGACCATATACTTAGCTACCAAACATTATGTATTTTTAAAATTTAATATGTTTAAAATTTTAACATTTACATAAGTGATCTCACAAAAATGTGTTGTTATGGCGTTACAACGAAATGAAAAAACACGTTCGTCCGAGCGTTTAGTTAGACAGATTAATTGCATTGTTCGCTAGACCATATGCACTTTATGGATTGTTTTTTGGCTACTTTTAATAAAATGTTTTCAAATTATCTATCCAGCTTTGAATTTTTTTCTCATTTTCAGACTGTCTCCATATTATGGCTTGACGCACAATGCTGTATTTTTTTGTTACCCAGTCATTCATTATTATTCATATCTATAAAAAATTTCAAACATTATCTGAAATTTTATTTTAATTCACATTTTCTAGAAAGCATATTAAAGAAGAAGAAGAAAAAATATTGAACAACATATTGTATTTCCGAATCTTGGAGTTGTGTTTCAAGGGTGTGGCATGACTTTGGCTGGTCTTCAACATATGAACAAAAGAACCATTTCGGTAGAACTAAGCAAGATCCAAAGTTCATGTGAATGTTATTGTACATTATTATTCAAAAATCGTATGGTGAGAAAATCGTCGTACCAACTTCGTTTGTTGAATTTAATAAATTTCACTCAAAAGACAGAACACTTCGGCAGTGTTTCAATATGTAAAAAATAAAAAGTTTGTTGAATTCACAATAAATGTTTGAATTTTTAATTAATTACTCACAATACATGGTTGAATTTCTAATTAATTACTCTTTTTCATCTTCGTTTTTTCTTACAAATTTTTTTATTGTTTTTTTGCATATAACATCAAAAAATAAACAACTCGAAACTGTTGCTGACTGGTATGGTAGTATTGAATCACTGATTGATTGAATGATTGGTTAAAAGATAACTTTTAATCACAACACTAAAATCTGTATCTTTTGAAAAGCCTACACTTGGGAACTCTACCAATTAGTCCATAAAATCAAAGGAAACACATCTATTTTTCTCATCTCCATCAATTTTCAAGAGAAATGTTGTCTTTCCAATAGCTAGGATCGTCTGACTGTTTAAAGTTTCTGTTAATTCTCATGACTGAACAAGAAGCTAGGTTATCGAAAAATGATCGATTTAACAGAATTTAATAATTTTATTTATTGTATAATTTTAAACTGAATAATTTCATTTATTGGATAATTTTAAATTTTTAAGATCAATTAGTCATTATGTGAATGTGATTGTGTATTTTAATTAATATTTCTTTAATTTTCTTACTAATTATGTTAATAATATTAATATTAATTATACAATAATAATTATACTGTTGAATATTTTATTCATAATGTTTACAATAAATACAAGTTAGGTACTGAGAGAAGATTAAACATCCACACATGTTTACACACACACACACACACACACACACACACATACACACACACACACACACACACACACACGCATACACACACGTACGCATACACACGTTCAACAGTATAAAAAAGTAAAAAAGTAAAAACACACATTCACACACACATACAGATACACACACGCACACATTCATACACACACAACAAACAAACAAACACACACACGTACACAAGAACACTGCCAATTACAAATTACAATAAATGATTACTATCTGAAAGTTACCAGAAATGTGTTTAAAATATTATTTTAAAAAATTAACAAATGCATCTGGGAATGAATGAATGAATGAATTTATAAATGAATGAATGAATGAATGAATGATTGAATTTAAAATGAATGGACGAATGAATGAATAAATAAATGAATGAAAGAATATGAATGAATGAAAGAATGAATGAATGAATGAATGAATGAATGAATATAGAATAAATGAATGAATGAATATAGAATAAATGAATGAATGAATTAATGAAGGATCGAATGAACGAAAGAATGACGCAGACAAAGAAAATATTGAATGAACAAACAAAATCTCACAAAATGTGCA